TTTTGTGGTGATTGTTAATTGTGAAAGGGCTAATGAGAATTACAAGAATAATGCGCTTACCAAAGGAATTCAGCTGTTTTTGCAGTGTGAAAAATAAGAATAATAAAGGCAATCCAAAAATGTTTTAGACAAAATGACTCCTAGAATAGTTCTTTACAGAGAGAAGGTAGTGAGTGCTACATATGATTTCTAAAATGTGGGTGAATATCTTTGTTGAGGGAAAAAAATCTTGTTATATAACAATCTTGAGACATATATATCCTAAGAGCAAGGAACCTTGGTGACACAGTAGTTGAGTGCTTGGCTGCTAACCTGAAAGTCAGCTGTTTGAATCCACCAGCCACTCATTCCATGTGAGAAAGAGATGGCAGTCTGCTACCATAGAAACCTATAGCTTTTGAAACCCTATGGGGTTGTGTACATGGCCCCATTTAGAGACATTATGAGTTGGACTTAACTCAGTGACAAGAATTAAGTATATACTAAGAATTAAGTATATACCAACTATAAGAACAGTTAGTAATGTGATTCAGTAAGTCTGTCATAAGCCTTACATGTCCGCATTATTTATTCATTCATTTGTTTGTTTGTTTGTTTTGTCCTTTTAAAATTATTTTATTGGGGGCTCATACAACTCTTATCACAATCCATACATACATCTATTGTGTCAAGCACATTTGTACATTTGTTGCCACCATCATTCTCAAGACATTTTCTTTCTACTTGAGCCCTTGGTATCAGCTCCTCATTCCCGCTACCCCCTGCCCCCATCCCTCACGAACCCTTGATAATTTATAAATTATTATTATTTATGTCATATCTTACACTGACCGATGTCTCCGTTCACCCACTTTTCTGTTGTCCGTTCCCCAGGGAAGGGGTTATATGTAGATCCTTGTGCTTGGTTTCCCCCTTTCTACTCCACTTTCCCCTTCCCCTCCTGGTATCACTACTCTCATTGGTCCTGAGGGGTTTATCTGTCCTGGATTCCCTGTGTTTCCAGTTCTTATCTGTACCAATGTACATCCTATGGTCTAGCCGAATTTGTAAGGTAGATTGGGATCATGATAGTGAGGGGGTGGAAGCACTAAAGAACTAGAGGAAAATTGTATATTTCTTCATTGCTACACTGCAAGCTGACTGGCTCGTCTCCTCCCTGTGACCCTTCTGTAAGGGGATGTCCAGTTGCCTACAGATGGGCTCCCACTCTGTACTCCCCCTCATTCACAATGATAAGATTTTTTGTTCTTTGATGCTTGATACCTGATCCTATCGACACCTCGTGATCACACAGGCTGGTGTGCTTCTTCCATGTGGGCTTTGTTGCTTCTCTAGCTGTTTTTCAATATATGAAACCCAGGACTGATGAACTTGTAGAGACAGCACGTAGAATTAGGGTTCCTGAGAGGTACAGTGGGAAGGGTGGGGAGGGGGGTTAAAGGGGAGATGATATCAAGGAGTTCAGGAAGAAGGAGTGTTTTCAGACTGTGATAGCAGTTGTACAATACTGCTTGATGTGATTGAACCATGGAATGATCGGAATAAAAAGGTTTTGGGGGGGGGGTAACGGAGTGTATTTTCAGTTTTACTAGGAGCCTTGGTAGCATAGTAGTTACTTATTGGGCTCCTAGTGTCAAGATTAGCAGTTCAAAACCACCAGCTGCTCCTCTGATGAAAGAGCTTTTCTACTCATATAAAGAGTTACAGTCTCGGGAACTCACTCGCAGGGGCAGTTCTACCTTGTCTTAATATAGGGCCACTATGAATTGGAATTGACTTTACGGCAGTGAGTTTTTGAGTGCTTCTCTGCCACAGCTGATTGCCAAATCCCAAGGCACAAAGGCATTTAAAAAATGAATTTATTATATGTGCAATTTTGCAGGGCTAATAAAAAGAGGAACCTATGACAGAGGTCTTTCTTTGGTTCTAAGGATGATAATGTTGTCCATAGTAGTTATTGTTTGAATGGATAAGAAGTGTGATGGGTGTTTCATCTGCCTTATTGCAAATGTTTTAGTGTAGTCACCAGTCCCAGGGAAAAGTTAAGGCCTCTTAGTGCTAACATTGAGATAAATGAGTTCTAATGCCAGTTAAGTTTCAAGAAAATGTTTTCTGTGGGAATACATTAACCCCTAAGGGTGAACATTGTAATCTTCATTGGGTCAGATGAAGGTCATGAGATCTGAAAGTCTCATTCTCTTAGAGCCAAATGACTATCTGTTGATTTGTTCAAGGAGCCCCATGTTCTCCCTCTTGTTTTTTTTATTGCAGAGTAGGTTAAGAGAAATCCATTTGCTATTGTCTGAATTGTATACTGTAAGGTATTATAGTGCAGCATTTGATAATATTGATTCTAGAAATAAACTATTTCCAACTTAATGGTGAGCAGGAATACTTCTAGTCTAATTCATATGTTGTGTAACTAGGTGCAAACATGTTGAGGGAAGGGCACTTTACCATTTACTACTGCTGTAAATCATGAGGCCCCCCCCCCCCAAGTCTGGTCTTTTTTTAATATTGTGACTAAGAATTGCACATGTACAGTATCAGGGGACTCTTGATGATTACATAGGTATTGCCTGTAAAGTGTTTAGAATAGAACTTAGTTGTTATGGATTCCATTGTGTCCCCCAAATATACATTGTAAATCTTAACCCCTATCCCTATGGTTAAAAAACCCTGATAGTGTGGTGATTAAATGCATGAGTGCTTATTGAAAGTTGGTGCTTCACACCCACCAGCAGCTCCATGGGAGAAAATACCTGGTTATCTGTTCCTGTGAAGATGACAAATTTTGACTCATAGCCACCCTCTAGGACAGAATAGAACTGCCCATGTGGGTTTCTGAGATGATAAATCTCTGCAGGAATAGAAAGCCTCATCTTTCTCATGTAGAGCATCTGGTAGCTTCAAACTGCTAACCTTGTAGTTAGCAGCCCAATGTGTAGCCTACTGTGCCACCAGGGCTCCTGCCTGTAAAGAGTACAGGCAGAGAAATCCTATGGAGTAGTTCTTCTCTACCCTATAGAGTTACTATGAGTCGGAATTGATTGGATGCCATACAACATACCTATGGTTTAATCGCATTTGGGAATGGATTGTCTCTGCTACATTAATGAAGATCAGTGTTAGTGTAAGATGTGTCTTAAATCAATTTATCTTTTAATAATATGTAAAAGAGATTAAGCAGAAAAGTGAGCAAACCGAGATGGAAGAGAGATGCCAAGCTATATGAAGATTACCCTGGAGCAGAAGTTCAAAAGAGACAAGGACCTTCCTTCCCTCAGAGTCCACAGAGAGAAAGTCTTTCCCTAAAGCTGGCACCCTGAATTCACTTCTAGCTTCCTAAACGGTGGGAAAATACATATCTTTGATAAAACAACCTGTGTGTGGTATTTCTGTTTTAGTAGCACTAGATAAATAAGATACTAGTAATTAGTAAGCATAAATGTTGATGTTACTGTTACTATTGTTGGTATTTAGTAGTCTGGAATTAGGTACTATATATTAAGAATTGGGGAATCCTGAATAGAAAATTAGGGCCTAGCAATATCTATGTGGCCTCAGCTTGGAATTTGGGCTTTTCTATTAACCTTGACACCATTTTGAGACTTTGCCAAAGTAGGACTTAGTGGTAAAGAAGTGCTAGATTTCAGAGAGCGCAGCCCAGTTACCATTAGGACTTGTGGAGAACCAGACATACTGAAATACAAGCTGTGAGAGCTGCGTAATTAGACCACTGCACACAATCGAAAAATGAATGAGTGTAGCTACTGGGTAAGGTTAGTACGGTATGGTAATTAGAACAGTGTCTTCCAAACCATTTAGACCATGGCCTCTAATAACAAATAGATTTTCCATTGCAACCCATCCCATGTGTGTGCACTTGTAGGTTTATAAACATTTCAATAATGTCAACACATTCTTTGTACTCTTCAGTATGTGTTAAGCACACTGATTTTATTTTTAATCTATTTTGCTTTACAAAAAAAGTTGGTTCTAACTTCCTAAGAAGAGTTTATGCCCTCCTAAGGAGTTGCGATTTTAAAAAGCACTGGTTGGATTAATCCTTTGAATACTGCTCTAGATCTAATTTGACATATATTGCCATCTAGATGTATCAGAGGTGTCCATCAGAGTTGGATTGGGGTGAAGATCTTTCCTTCCTCTCTGGCTCTCTCAACAGAAACCACACCAAAGTTGATGCCGACTCATAACAACTTTATGGGACAGAATAGAACTGCCTGTGAGTTTCTGAGACTGTGACTCTTTTTAAAATTTTTAATTAAATCATTTTATTGGGGGCTCATATGGCTCTTATCACAATCGATACATCCATCCATTGTGTTAAGTACATTTGGACATATGTTACCATCATCATTTTCAAAACATTTTCTTTCTACTTGAGCCCTTGGTATCAGCTCATTTTACCTGCTCCCTCCCTCTCCCTTCTTCATTAACCCTTGATATTTTATTTATTTATTTTTCATGTCTTACACTGACTGCTGTCTCCCTTCACCCATTTTTCTTTTGTCCATCCCCCTGGGAATGGGTCATCTGTAGATCATTGTGATCGGTTGAGACTGTAACTCTTTATGGGAGTAGAAAGCTCATTAACTTACTGATTTGGGAGCCTTATTATGGCTTTCTTCCTCTCCTCTCCTCACTGCAACAGCTGTTGTAGCCTGGCCCACGCCTCCTGGGTTGATAGTATTTCTGTCACAGTGTGAGTTTTCAAGTTGGTATGTACTCTTTCTGCCAGCATCATTCCCTGCTGCCAGGTCTCAGGGTTGGAAGTTGCAACTGATTTGTGAAGGGGAGGGATTTGGGTGCTTGTCACTGTGGACGGAACAAGGTGCTCTCTGCAACTCTGGTTTGTTGAAGGCTGAGTGTGAATGATGTCAGGCAGATCAGAGGACAGCTGATTCATTTGGGGTCTGAAATGCCTCATTGCTGCTTCCTGGCCTCTTAGGTCTTTGTTTAGAGGATTCTGAATATCATGCTTTTTTGGAGAAAAGTCCAAAAGTGTGAGAAGCCTAGGTTTCCTCTGGCTGGCAGACTGCATACCCCTTGTGTGAGAAAACTTCCTACAAGGACGGTGCCAGTGTGAAAGAGCAAACATTTGAGTAACCAGGAAAATGATGAAACGGAGGCGCGAGAGATTGGGAGCACCATGCCTTCGGATTCAGTAAGGAGGCTGGGGTCTTTGATTGGAAACTGACAATTGTCAGAAAGAGAACTAATGCCAACTAACACAGCTTTACTTGCCTGAGTAAAGACTGCTTCCTCCATGTATGCCAGGAAGAGACTGAGCTGGCTTCATTAATTCAAGGTCAAAAAAGTGGTCCCTGGCAGGGCCATCAGGAGCTTCTAATTCTGAAAATTGAGTTTGGGGCTATTTTAGGGATTCCTAGGTGCTGGAGGAGCTGGGTTAACAATCAAGAAAGCTTATTTTTTGTCTTGAAAAGCAGATGCATATTTAAATTCTCTGACAAAGTGACAAATACAAGCCTCATGAATGTGAAAAGCAAATGGAAAGGAAAAATATCTTCTCTTTTGACTAGTAAATTGCATTCTTGAGCCCGGATCAAGACTTCAGATCTTCCCTTACAGAACCAAGCTGGGGTCTTTCTGGGTTTGAGCTGAGTTTTATTTCTTTGTTGGTCAATAAGAAATGAATTAGATGAGGATTCAAAGATGGGAAAGCACTGGATTATTTAATGATAAATTGCTGAGGGCATTGTTCAGCAAGTAAGGGAGCCAGGGAAAGAAGGGCCCTAGCACCCATTCTAGCTCAGTTTTCTATATCGAACTACCGTCGTTTAACTCATAGGAGGAAGGGAGTACACTTTAGATTCTCTCCCTCCCACTCCCCCATGCTGTTAATGCTTACCCAGAGATAGCATTGCTTATTCAAACAGACAGCTTTCCCCCCATGGGTTTCGTGTTTCGTTAGGGCCCTTGGCCTTTGGTTGGCATTCAATGTTTATGGATAGTCATTAATGGAATTAATGATTTTACCAGACCTTGGGGAAAAAATAGGACTTGTTTGAAGAATATAACTTATAAGATTGAAAGAGAAAGACCTTATTCCCAGAGTGAGACTATAAGACTATAAAGACCACAAAAAATAATGTCTTCACCAATTAAAATATCTTTTAAAGTAAAGGCGACTTATTTGCAGAGTGGTAATTAGGAGCAAGAACAGGAATTTGGTTTTCATAGATTTTTTACAATCTTCGTTATGTATTTATCAGAATGACTAAACCTCCTTTTACGTGATAAGATCTAAAATGGCAATATTCTGTGTAAACATTGTTTCAATTAACAAGTACTGTCTTGTTGCATGTTCTTTTTAAAAAATTTTTGTTGTTGCATGTTATAATTAGCTGTAACTTATGTATACTAGGAAGCTTATTTTAGAAAGAATTCTTTAGAAAAGTGAAAAATTATTTTTTGAAAGGGAGACATTAAGCCAAATTAATGTTTTCACTTTTTAAGTTAAAAAAAGATCTCAATTAAAAAAAATTGAGCATACCTGTAATTTAAATACTTAGCTGCCCTCCCCTCTCCTATTGTATTTCTAATCAGAAATACACTGAAGCTAGTTACAGGGAGAATGAGTAGGAAGGTGAAGGTTTCCTTTGAATGCATATTTGGAAGTAAACAATTAGAAGATCACTAAGTTCATATCTGAGAATTTAGCAATAATAATATATGAAACTAACATTTTAAACACCGTTTAGGTGCTTATGTACTACTTAGGCAACTATTTAAAACTTCAATTATAGTTAGTTCATCAACTATATCATATCTTCCAGTGATTAACAAATGTGAACTAAAGTTTTACTGCCTGTCTTTCAGTTTAATGATCTTATTTCTTTAATAGTCTTCCGTTAGCCTTAATACATCAAAAAGGTTAGATTATTTTTTGAGAGGAAAGTAATACGAGAAGAAAAATTTAATTAAGGCACAATTTTGTATGTGACAAATTTAAGTGACATTACTTGATATAATCATTAGTCAAAAAGTGTTATGGAATAATCCACCGAGTTTTACTTTAACGGACATGTGCATATTTCTCTGGGCAGTTTTACTAAGTCATTGAGCATAAAACATTGCCTGTTCTTGCTAACTGATGAATTGAATATCCTTAAAATGTTTGATTTACCCAGAAGCTAAGTTTTACTACTTTGAATAGCCAGTACTTAAGATTTTGGTTTTAATTAAAGTGGATTCAGTTTAAGTTTCTGTTGTCATTTTGTTCTAGCATTGGAACTGAGATATGCTATTTGAAAAACAAATTTTTTTCACTTTTCTTCATCCTCTTGTTTGAAAGAATCCACTTGAATATGTTTCTTCACTGAGAAATTATTACTGATCTTGTTTTTTTCCTACTGTGGTGCCTTGTCAGAATCTCTACTCTTTGCCGAGGATCTGAAGTAAACCAGCATATGTTTTCGCCCACTTCGGCTCCAGCCCTATCCCTCACTAAAGTCCCATTTAGTGCTGATTGTGCCTTGGCCACTTCTCCTCTTGCCTTTTTCCTGAACCCACAAGCTCACAGCAGTCCTGGCAGCCCCTGTTCCAGCCGCCCACTGCAGTGGAGGTAAGGAAAACTGCTGTGATGTGAATGTGGGCCTTGGTGATCGCTTCTGACCTAATAGTCTTGATAGGGTAAGCCCATAACTAATTTTTAAATTATGAGGAGTTAATAAGAGTCATGAACCTGGCACAGACTAAAAAGACTATAAAAAGATTGCTACATTACAATTTTTAGATGATAGACTAGTATATCAGTACTTCAGACTAGTTGTGTGCCCATCCTGATTGTTGGATAGCCCTGTGACCATTTGAGGAAGAAGCATAGCATGACAGGATGCTAGAGCTCTTTAGAGCTTAAATAGTCCACACTCCAACATTTAGATGATCATGCTTTAGAAAATATGATTCCAAAGTAGGTTAAATGATTTGTTTAGGCTGATGAAATAGCCCTGCCTCCCATTTCTTCCAGCCTTCTTTTTCATATATTCAATATTTTTTGAGTACTTATTATGTGGCAGGTACTGCTCTATGCATAGAAAACTGAGAGCTTGGATTCAAATTAATAAGTAAATATATAACAAATAGTCATAGTACTATTAAGATAAAGTATGATAGGCAGAGTAGAGGATGTGTGGCTAAGTGTTGCCATTTATGAGATGATCACACAGGTCCTCAAGGATGTGTTGATAAATGAGCAAAGACTAAAGGAAGTCACAGAGCCAGAAAGGAAAAAAATGGAGGAACAGTTTGTACCAGGCCAAGGTACAGTAAGTGTTAAGTGCCTGCTTAATAAGTTTGCGTTGTGTGTTCTTAGTGCAACAAAGAGGCCGGTGAGGCTGGTGAATAAGGTCTGAGATGTGGGCAAACCACATTAGTAAAATATTAAAAGCCATTTTCAGGACTTTTGCTTCGATGTTAAATGAGATGAAAAGCTACTGGAGGATTTGAAGTGGAAGAATGACTTGATCTGACAGATTAAAAGGCTATGGAATAATTGTGTAAGAGTGGTTGTTTGAACTTGTACAGGTAATAAGGCATGGTCAGATTTGGGGTTACATTTTGAAAGAATTGATAGGATTTATTGGTGGATTGGATATCTGGTTTAAAGATAAGTTAATTATGATTTAAACTTTTGAATTGAACAACTGGAAAATTAAAGTCACCATTAACAGAGACTAAGAAACTGCAGGGCATCATTAATTGGACATTTAGTTAGAGATATGTTAGATCTCTAAAGAGAGATCATTAGAAATCATTAGCATATAACCGATCAGTTTGGTTCATGAGATGATTCTGTGAGTGATTATTCAGACGAGGTGTTAAAGGATTGTGGCCTGGGAAGACAATGAGGAAAGCTTGAAAAGTAGCAACTGTCATACAAGAGTAATAAGAGTGATATTTTAGAAGCCAACCAGAAGGACAAAAATAAACATGGAAGGCGTGATTAATCAATGGGTATTTTTCTAGCTTTTAGTTAGAAAAGTAACCCTAGAAACTAAAATGTAATTAGAAGGATGATTCATGGTATGGATTTAAGTGGTATTATTTGATACCTTATTACTGTCTGGTGCTGTGGCGTAGTTTCGGATTCACAGCAAATGAGTATAGCAGAATGAAACGCTGCACACTGCCCAGCCTGCTCCATCTTCACAGTCGTTGCTGTTTGAGCTCATTGTTGCAGCTGCTTTGTCGGTCCATATGGTTGACAGTCTCCTCTTTTACATTGATCCTCTGCGTGACATACTGAGATTGTTTACCATTCTAAATGGTGGGACTGTGAACTATTTCTGTCCCTGAGTGTTCGATCTTCTTTTCTTGGGTAGTTTTTTCACCCTTGTACAGATCTCTATGCAGCTGAAAACTGAAACTAAAACCTTAACACCCCCCCCCATTTCTAGAATTGCCACACCAAAGGGGCAGGACTGTCAGTCAGAATCAACTTGGTGGCGATGAGAGTGGTTTGGTTTTTGAGAACTCTTCCTATATAGCACTGTCTTGGCACTCTGCCTAGCTACTTTGTTGTTGATGTTGTTAGATGCCGTTGAGCTGCCTCTGACTCATACCAACCCTTTGTACAACAGAATAAAACACTACTTGTCATCCTGATAGTTGTTATGTTCGAGACCCTTGCTTTGCAGCCACTGTGTCAGTTCATCCTGGTGGGAGTCTTCCTCTTTTACACTGATGCTCTTCTTTACCAAGCATGATGTATGTCCTTGTCCAGGGACTGGTCTCTCCTGACGACATGTCCAAAGTGTGAGACATTGTGCCATCTTGCTTCTGAGGAGCAAAAGTTCTGGCTGTACTTCTCCAAGACAGATTTGTTTGTGCTTTTGACAGACCATGGTACTTTCTATATTCTTCCCAATTCAGTGTCCTGCTTTCATGTGCACGAGGCGATTGAATTGGCATTTTTTTGCTCTTCAACACTTTAAAAGAAGTCTTGTGGAGCAGATTTTCCCAATGCAATACACCATTTGATTTTCTTAAATAATTTTTTAAAATTGTGAATTAGGTGGGAGTTTATATTTCTGACCGTCAGTTTTGTGTTGCACACAAAATTCTGTGTTTCAAGCTCCCTTCACCCCTGCTCAGTACCTTCTTCCTTTGCTTTCTCTCCTTCCTGGTATGGATTACAGAACTCCTTCACCCAGCTTTATTCCAATCTGTTAGCTAGCCTATTGTTTTTTACTTTCCTCCCTGGCCCTCCTTCCCTTGGCAACATCCAAATCTGGTCCTTTTGGACTAAAAGTCTGTGTCTTGTCTTTTCCCCTTATAACAATGGCTTCATATATTATTTTTCCTTTTGTGATTGACTACTTTCACTTAGCATAAAGACCTCTAGGTCCATCCATGCCATGAGGTATTTGGTGGTTTCATTATTTTTAGTGATGTTTAGTATTACACTGTGTAAGTTCCAAAGTTTCCTTTATCTGTTCTTCCACTGGTAGGCATTTGGGTGGTTTCCATCTTGCTTTTGTAAACAGTGCTGTAATTAACATGAGTGTGTGTGTGTCTATTCATTCTATGGCTCTTACTTCTTTATGCCCAACAGAGATATTGCTGGATTGTATGGAATTTCTGTTGTTTGAAGTAGTGCTATATAGCTTTCCACATGGTTCTATGTATTTACCTCCCCACCAGCGATGTGAGTCTTCCATTCTCTCCACACTTTCACGATTTGTTGTTTTTATTCGGCTGTAATTGTCAGTCTAAGGTGGTGAGATGGATAATCCCAAGTAAATTTATTTTATAGACGATGGCACTCACTATAGCACCTAGAGGTGAAGGAAGTTATTAATAAGTGGTAGAACTAGCATTCAGCTTTATAGAATCTGACTGTAATGTCTGTGGTTTTTAACCGTGCTGCTGTATTTCTGATGAAAAATATGTTATTGAGTATTTAATTAGCTTAACAAACTTTGATCAAATATTATAGTTTCCAGGCCCTGTTCAAATAACTTTATAATGTATAGTATTTGAACTTCTACTCTTGCATTATCAACTCTGAGAAAATTTCTGTTTGTTAAAGCCATCCACTTGTAGTTCTGTTATAGCATAGTAACTATTTTATATATATATAATATAGTAAGTAATATAACATAGTAACTAAGATAGTAACCTTGTTTAATAAAGGCCCCTATGTAGGAGATGGGAATCAATATTCATTGTTATTTCCATGCCATGTTATTTCCTTACCATCTTATAAAAACATAACTGACATCATTCAGTTCTGTTTTCTTTTACCACCACTAACAGCCACCATCCAGTAACTCTGTTTTGGTCTCTGTGTTCACACTGAGACGTAGGGACAGAAGCAGTACTTTGTGAATGCAGCAGTGAGCCAAGTCCTTACCATGTACTTGTACCCGTGAACATTAGTGATATGAAGTAAATGAACAAGGACAAACGGAAAGAAGAGAGAAATGGTTTTGTAGACAATGCATACGAGTAAAGAGCTGAAGTTTTCGTTACTGGCAGCACGTTTGACCTCTGTTTGCAGATACATGACCCAGGAAACAGGGAACTAGGATCCACACACTGCCACCTTTCAGTGTCTGGACTGAGAGCTATCCCCTTTGGAGTACAGCTGCATTACACTGAAGGGCCAGAAACAGTGTGTTCCTTTGCATAGTGGTGAGAACCAGCCCTGCTCAAACTCTCAAGCCTTTTTATTGCTTGCATCTTAGTGATATTCTTATTACCTTTAATTTTCACCACCACCACCACCCAACAGTAACTTGAAGGACAACCAAGACATAGTTTTTAAATGATTCCTGCTCTAACAGTATACCATATATATTCATGTATAAACTGAGTTTTTCAGCACATTTTTCATGCAGTTTTTGTGGTAAAATTCAGTGTCTTGACTGATATTCAGGTCGGCTTATACTCAAGTATAATTATTTCTTTCTTGAAGAGAAGGGATGGGTCTGTTCTAGTCAGACTTTGATGCAAAGGATATTATCTTTAAGGTGTCTCCTATGGGTATGATCAACCTTAAGAAGAATAATAGATGAGTTAGGTTAATTAACCTCTGACCTTTAGTCAACTTGCATATCTTCTAATATATACAAGGGGCTACCCTCCACCCCCCAAAACGGAAAAAACTCCACTGGGCAGACCTGTCATAGTACGCATTTTTCCCACTAGGTGAGCATCGAGCAACTTGCTATGAGTTAGTGCACCCAGTGGCATCACCTGTGAAAGGTCCCTCTGGTCACAGTGAATTTTTTCGGGAAAAAAACAAACAAAGACATTTTCACTCGAACCTCATTTTTTTGTGATGCCCAATTTAAGAGAAGAGTGTGCAGCTGTGAAATTTTGTTTCCAGCTCAGGAAAAATGCCACCGAAACTGTTGTGATGTTGAACACAGTTCACAAGGACAGCGCTATAGGAACAACTGAAGTGTACAGGTGGTTTTCTCCTTTCCAGAAAAGGTGAAATGTTGATTGAAGACAAACTTTGTTCTGGACGTTTAGTTAACTTCCTTAACGGAGGAAAATGTTCACAAAATTCATGCTCGAAGATTGACGACGGATCATTGAAGAGATGAGGAAATT